CGGCCCGCGGGCCGTAGTTTGGGGACCCCTGCTCTAAAACGCCACTTTATATAAAAGTTTGTTTAAAAGGAAAACTAAAATATATGCATACATTTGAAGTTGATAGGCCAAATGAGTAAGGAAAATGTAAAATATCAAACAATTGGTCATTGAAAGATTATGAAAAAAAGAAGTGTTGGGTTTTTAATTTTAATATCTTTTAAAAAACAGAACTCTAAATACCCTTTTGAGTTCTGGTTGCTTTTAATTATAAAACGTGAAAAATGTTGGACAGGACATTTCTATTCATTACTGTGGGATTTAATCAGCAAATAATCTAAATTAGTTCAATAATGTCTGTGTTTGCTTTAGTTGTCCACTGCAAAACAAAGCCAAACACGCACCTTTTACAAGAGAAATCACAAAATGTAAAATGTTGCAGAAACTTTAATCAAAGATGAATTAGAAAAAGACCACATAAATATTTCTGGGGGGAAAAAAATCATCCCTCTTTATCCATCTGTTTAAGGTCTTGGATGGAATAAAACTATGAAGTCTTTTAGAGCAGATTTTGTTAAATATTTTAAAAGCAATTATTTGACAGGTTACAACGTTTAAGGTTATTGCGTCATATTTCCGCGCCATTCGGCTCTTCGCTGCTGAGGACGCATCCAGCATGGGGCACCTTGGAGGCTCATTTCTGCTCATCGCATTGCTCATTTTGCTTCATATTCGGGGTAAGAGGCATCAGTTATACATGCACTATTATTACAGTACATGTCTCTTTATACTTGTGTTTTTACTCTGTGTGTGGCGGACTAAAATTTGTCTGCAGGCGGTAGTATTGTCACTTCCCAGCTGGCTTTGCTTCAAACTTGCAGTAGACTCGTGCAGTTCTCACGCCACGGTGTTATTTGCGTCTCCAGATATCTGCTGCAAGAAATCAGACTTTCATTTTCATAACTTAGCACATGCGTATTAGGACTGAAATATGTATGACATAAGTTTGAAATTAACTTTATTTTGATGGTAAAAAAATATAAATGTTAGTGGCAGCGACTCCGCATGCTGTGTTCATCACAGTAACCTCCGAGTAACTCATGTCAACATCTGATAGTACAATTCAATTCAAAGATACTTTATGTATTCCAAATGTAATATTGTCCTAATTCAAAATCAAGTATCTTCAAAAACTCATTGTGTGTTGTGAAGCCGTGGGGATGAAGTATGTCCAGTAGCAGTCAGTCTTGCAGCAATATAAGGAGAACTCTGATTGAAGACTGTCATACAGCTAAATGTCTGGACAGCAGAAATTATATGTCAGAATAACATCTGGAAGTTGGCCATCAGTTGTTGCCGAACACTGCTAATCTGCATCATTTGCTTCCACCACCCCTCTGTAAATCTCTGTCTGGCCATGTAAAAAGAAAGCTGAGCAGAGAGATGTTGAAGTCGGAGATCTAATCCCTTACCCATTGTGATAGATCGAAAAGTTGATTTGAACGTCTTCCTCTATCTCTTTTTGATTTTTTTGTGCTACTGCATCCTTTTCAACTCCTCCGGGATTTTGTTTAGAGCTGAAGTTTTAATGAAGCCTTTAAAATGCTAAATCTTCTGAATCCAGCTGGAAAAAAATGCTTTTTAGTCTTGAATCATTTATGGGTAATTTGCTAGTGACTCTTAAATATAGTTGTTGTCCAGATGGTGCATTTCTGTTATCACTCTGGAAGTTAATGAAAAAGTTCAGAGAAAGTAGATATTAAAGAACCAGTAACCTAGAATCCTTAGTATTGTATGCATCACCATTCCAGTCCAAAACCATGTTACAATAACTTACCACAACCTCTTACTGAATTTTCACTTGATAAAGATGTAAATCAGTTTTTCATATCTTGTAGATATTTTTTAAATAAAATGCTGGCAGCGAATTCTAGGATTTTTAATAAAATTATGGTAAAATGTAACAAAGCAAGGTTGGTATAAAATGAAATGAAATGAAATGAAATGAAATTTTATTCGAACATGATACAAATACAAATATAAAATAGTGCACAGTAACAAGAAGTGCATAAAAAAGAAGAGAAATTACAGATTCTTTCTTTCAGTTAACATATCATGCTCAAAATGGGGTAGGAAGAAGTGAGAACTTATAAACTCCTACCTCTAAACACTTGAGACTTTAGAGTCCTACTGTCATTAAACAAATCGAAATCAAAGTGGCAGTCAGAAGTAAGTTACTAATATTTACCTATACATTTTCCCATTTTATGCTGGTTTGTCTTTCTAAACCCTTACACCAAGTTATCTGCAATACACACCTTATTGCTTTCTGTCACCCGTATGTGTATCTATTGAAAATTACCTCTTTGTACTTTCTTTTGAATTGTGTTAAACTATTGCTTTGTTTTAAATCTTCATGTAACTTGTTCCATAACTTTACACCTGTAATTGAAATACAGAAGCTTTTTCTTGTTGTTCTAAAATTGCGGATCTTGAAGTTTGAGTGACCCCTTAAGTTATACCCCCCTTCTCTTTCAGAGAACGTGCTCTGTATGTGCTCAGGTAACAACTTATTAGATACTTTGAACATAAATTGAGCCATTTTAAATTCTACAAGCTCGTCAAATTTGAGGATTCTGGATTTTATAAAGGATTCTGGATTTTATAAAGTTAAAGTTTTATAAAGTTATAAATTTTATAAAATCAGATTTAAAGGTAATCGACATGGTCGATATTTCATATTTAGCTTGATGCATCAGAAAAATACCCATTTAAGGGTATTTTAAAATTATGGAATGATTTCACATAAGTATGTCTGAATCCTATTGTTTAGTTTTAAAAAAATAACAGATAAAGGTATATCTGGTTGTCAGTAAAGCTCAATTTTATGCCATCTGAATGAAGTAATTATATGTTTAAGTTGTTAGAAATAGGAGACAATTTACGTGAACCCGCATTTTAATGATTTCAGTCAAACTCTGCTTTGCATTTAACACATTAAGAATCTTCTCGTCAGATAATTTGAACCATGACATTAAAACAGCGATGTGTTTGTGTGTTTCAGGTGCTGCATCTCACTCTTTACCAGCCTGTAACCAGCAGCTGGAGTTTACATGCAGTGATGGATCGTGTTTATCGAAGCTGAAGTTGTGTGACGGCCACACAGACTGTGCTGATGGATCCGACGAGCACCACTGTGGTGAGTTCATGGTCTGCAGGGATTTTTAACTATGCGCAATCATGGTAAACTCAAAATACTCCTTCAGTCAGTCCTACGGTCTTATGTGTTTGGACTCTAAATATTTAAATGAAATATCAAAATTATCAAAACAGATTCCAGATAGCACATATTTACTGAACAAAACAAAGCCAACATAGAGAAATGCATGTGTGAAAAACACTATGTGCACCCTTCTTGCTCTTATAGGAGATAATAAGTAAGCACTATTTACAATTCATTACCTTTTCAGGATAACATAGAATAGGAAGCCTCAGTCTTTTTAAGGCATAAATTTATGTGAAAAGAAAGAGATAGATTTAATACAAGTGAACTTGGTTCAAAAATCCAAACATAGCACCTGAGAGTCATGAGATTCAGTCAGTGCCTTGAAATCATAAAGTACAACTAATCTGCACTGAGTTCAAACAAGTGTTGTCAGGAACAGATTAGATAAAAGATGAATTCCCAGAATATTCCCGGCTTCTCCAAAATCATTAGTGACATTTTAACCAATCCCTAAAAGCCTAGCAGACTCACATCGAGGCTTTATTAGATTAATCTGATTATGGTGATAGGTTCAGTTTGCTGGTGGTTTTTTTTTTTTTTTAATAGCTCATTATTTAAAAAAACACACTGCTTTCCAACATTTCTGTGCACCATCTCTGAAATCCATTATACTGAATTTTTAAACCTGACATTAATGTGATATTCAAGTTGCATGGCAGGCAAAGTGTTGCTCCTTCTCTGCAGCAAAGATCACTACACTGATACTGTTTGGGATTATCATTTTTCTAATCCCTCTGAGGCCATTTGAGCCCTAAGTGGAAAGTTCCAGAGGAATCTGATGTAAAGTTCAACACTTCAGACCTGCAGTGCAGAGCTCTGCAGGAGGGAAAACATCTTACACCTTTCAGGTGTTAAACATTAACACTGATCTGTGTAAAGCCAGCAGGTTTGAATATCTGACCTACAGCGAGCGGCTCTAGGAGAACATAAAAACAAGCAGAATGGAAAAGTTGAGGGACATTTTCTGTGTGAGGAAAAAGATGGATCTATTTAGGCACAAACCGCATGGTGGCTCCAGAGCTGCAAGGCTCTAAATAAAGAACTAATATTTTTAAATATAGATATAATCACAAATTCAGGTTTTAGCTGTGTTTTATTTTGAGAAATAATTGCATTGAATTTTCAAAGCACAAGTAATAAATTTTTAGATCCATTTTCATTTTTGTTGAGAATTTCTTTTACAGAATTTTCCACAATCATTAGAATACATAGAAGCTGTATAAAAACCTTTTCTAAAGTAAACATTTATTTAAAAAAAAAATATAAGTTGTTTTTATTCAGTATGTCTTGTGATATCTGTTGCTCTAAATGAAATGTATTCAGCTGGACAACCTGGGAAAAAATGACTTTTTGGAATGTAAAGGCTGTAGAGATCTGCCCTAAAGGAATGTTTGGAAAGAGTCAAGACGATAAGACTGCAGTAGCTGTTAAGCATGGTGATGGCAGCATAATGGTCAGGGTATGTTTCCCTGAGCAACAAAAGAAAAAGGCTCATATATGATTTTCAAAGGTTATTAGACAGTTTGGCTTCTTAAAAACGATGTATAAAGAATTGAGGTAATTGTGCCATCTGTGTGCTGTAGAGCACAGTGTCAATAAAAACCAGAACCAGAACCCTTCTATATATTTTTAGTTATGCCTCCAGCCACTGTATCTCCCCACTTTATACCCTGACAGGCCACAGCAGGTGTGGGAAAGATGAGTTCACCTGCCGCAGCCGACGCTGTATATCATCAAAACTCTTCTGTAACGGTGTTGACGACTGTGGCGACGGGAGCGATGAGGATTCCTGTCACAGCTGCACCCCTGGGTCTTTCTCCTGCGGGCCGGGCGAGGCCTGTCTGCCCAGAAACAAGCTCTGTGATGGGTGGGACGATTGCAAAGACGGACGAGATGAAGCCCGGGGCCTGTGCGGTTCAGTTCAGGCCTCTCCTCAGAAATCTTCAGCTTGTGCAGCCTCAGAGTTTCAGTGTGGAGACGGAGCGTGCATCCGGCATGCGTGGAGGTGTGACCACTCCCCGGACTGCGCTGACGGCAGCGATGAGGAAAACTGTGGTAAGTGAGGCATCTGGATGTACATTGCACAGAAGTTTATAAAATATCCACTTTGTAGAACTTATTCTACTTTTTAAGTCAGAAATACAACAACAAAATATTTTACCATTGGGGAAAAATTCAAATTCAGAGATTAAAGAAAAGGGGGGGAAAAAGCCTTTTTCTGATTAACTACCAGTTAATCAGAACTGGTAGAGCCAGTTCTGATTAATCAGAAATGGCTCTACCAGTTCTGATTAATCCAAATGTTATTAATGGAGCCCTTGTAGAATTTTTAATTTGGTTCAAATATGTGAGGATAGGAAGAGGAGGAGAGTCTGGAAATGATGGATTCCCCAAGAGAAGGATAGAAATTGGGATTGTAAAGTTCTAGCAAGTCATAAATCTTAACAACTTTATTCTCCAAATGCTCATCAACCAACAAACAAGATGTTTGGTTAAAATGTTTTCAGCTGGTTTTCAAAATGCCTTGTGGAAATAAGGATGTTGCTGTTTCGCTGACCACCAGCAGAGGGCAATCAAGTGCTTCTTCTGATAACTGGCTTTCCAAACTTCAAACATAATCAAATATTCAGGTTTGAACTGAGATGTAATAACCAACCATTTCGTGTATGAATTTTTAAATTCATTCTTAAAGAATTACTGACTTCCTCTGAACAGAAACAGACTCTCTGCAGTCTTTTAACACAGTTCTAGGGACAATAAGTTTTGGACTATATTTTTATTGTATTTCAGTCTATATGTCTATAATTATAAAAAGCAGAGATAACAAAAGCATAGACTATTACAAGTCCCTTTAAACCAGTCATGTCAAATGTTTATGTAACACTCTTCCACTACGTCGTATGCCTCTCAGCCACAGGCATATATAACCCTATCAAGTGTGTGGCATTGGTTGTGACCTTGGACGGTTGGACGGTTACAGCTTAAAGGCTGGTATGTAAACCATGAAGATTGCTTCGACTGTGGTTATTTTTATGTTATGTTTAAAGCTGCTCTCATGTTATGTTTAAAAGAATCAAAGTGCTTCAAGTTGTAAAAAGAAGCCCAGCATTTTAAAAACATTTCCTTAAAACAGGTAATGTACAGAAACTTGAAAAAGGATAAATGTTTCCCTCAGTTATTACAACAACATAAACATAAATGAACAAGAACAACAACTTTAACACATTTTAGATGAGTTTGGACAAAGATTTGTGCCAAAGGGGATTTTTTAATCTGAATGGTGAAATTGCTCATCCTTACCATAAATCAGAGGTTTCCAAACTGTGGGGCGCGCCCCCTAGGGGAGGGCGCCGTTCCATTGCAGGGGGGGCGCGGAAAGCCGTCTGGATGAAAAAAAAAAGAACGCTATATGTGCTGGGTTTTTACCTTAGAATGACCAACTCTCTGTTATTCTTATGTCAATTTGATACAGTAGGGGCTTCCACACTTCCCATATCTGTGTCCTCTCTGTCACTTTTATCAGCAGTTAAAACTGTTTAATCCATTGTTAACATGTGGTAACCTGTTTTTCCGAGCCGCATTTAAACGCAGCATCAACACTACGACACTCGCGCTGGGTTTACATCTCTGCGGCAGTGAAGGAGACCTGCTGCTGCTGTGCAGACCTACGCAGGTTTGTTAGAATCACGGCAGCAAACCAGCAAAACGCAAAGAACTTTTCACAGTTTTCCCCCCAAACTAACCGACTGAGTTGAGCAAAGCTGTTGGATGCAGGTAATGTTAGCTAAAGATGATTAGCTAATATCAATACAGCACCTTAAGCTTAACAAGTAGCCTGTAGGCTACCGATGTTGTTGTCTATGTTCAGCTACGTACATTCATTTTGCCCCCCAAAAAGTTCATTGCCCCCTCTCCCCCACCTTCTTAGTGACAAGGAGTCTCTAAGAATCCTTGCCCCCACCCCGCCTCACACGCATCGTTCAGCCCCCTCTTTTTTTCTTTTTTTTAAACAAATACCCAAAACACACCTCTAATATTAATCAAAATCACAACAGATATAAAATCATGCCAATGTGGGTAGCCTGGACGGCCAGCTGCCCAGCAGGCTAAATCTACCCGTTGTGGCTCATACATGCAGTTCTGCACACACCCATGACATTAAACGAAAGAATGTTCCCTCACTGTACACTAAAGCACACATCCATGTGTCCTGACAACACTATTGACATTTGCCTAATCACTCTTAATCCTTGCAGTATTCCGGGTCTCTTTCATGTCGTATGTTTATTGCTTGGCTGTCTTTCTTCTCACTAAGCTTCTCCTGTTGGTGACTTTAGTTGAGTGTTTAGTATGTGATATTTTTTAGGACTTTTTTTGCGTTTTTTTTTTTTTTTTTAAACGCAAAACCATTTTTTTAACCATTACCAAAATAACATGCACTTAGCTTTGAGAAGAGCTGCATATTGTTAAATGCTATACTTGTGATTTAAAAAAAAATATTTATTGTGTATGTCTACTGAATTGACAATAGAAGTTTCTTTAAAAAAATGTATTTGCGACAAATCATCAAACTTATGTATTAGAAAAAAAGTCCAGATTTATTTGTATAGCACATTCAAAAACAATGTTTGCTTCTCAAAGACTTATCAAGGAGCTCAGAAATAAGAATACCTCAACCTTCATTGACCAGAACATAGAAAAGATAAAAAAAAAAAAAAAAAAGGGAGAGCCTGAATGAAGAATGAAAATAAAAACAAGTTTGCAAATCTAGTGGAATGCAAGTTAGAAATGTTTAAAAGTGTTGTTGAGAATCAGTGACGCAGATGAATGCTTGGTTTCTGTAACGGTTGATCTTGCAGATATCAGCAATCAGGATGAATGTCAGGAGAATAACGGCGGCTGTTCCCATTACTGTTTGGACCAGCCCATTGGTTTCCTTTGCCGTTGCCCGGACAACATGAAGCTGGTCGAAGACAGCCGCTGTGAAGGTGAACGACGGCCTCAATTTATTTTGCTGTGGACAATACTGTAACTCTCAGCTTATGGCCAATACAGGTTCTGCATCTGTTCATTAATGTTTGCCTGTTTATATCATCAGGTTTTGCCATGCAGCATTCTTGGAAAATGACAGAACATTGTATGGTCCTTATTTTTACTCAGTCATTGTTTGCCATAAATGTGTTTGTGTTTTGTAGAAGTCGATGAGTGTCTGGAGAGGGACATCTGTGACCAGCTGTGCGTCCACAGAAACGACAGCCTCACCTGTGAATGTCAAGAGGGCTACCACATGGACCCTCTGACCAAAGAGTGCAAGGCCGAGGGTGAGCCCAGTCATTTCAATCAAGAACCACTGACGCCATTAGAACCAGTATGTGTTTCACATACAGCTTGCACAACACTTGCTGGTCCAGGAGAGGATTAGGGTCATTAAGATAAAAGAATAATTCTGATTTTAATCCAAGATTTCTGATTCTGTGTCAAAACACAAAGAAATAACCAAACATTTCAGGTGTGTGTGTCAGATATACAAAAATCCACACTGAAAGCCTGTCCAAAATTTGTTTAGTAGATTTGAATGGTTCATGCACAACTTAAACAATTCTGATTCCGAGATTAAAATTAGAAATCTCTTTTTCGCTGTGGCTTCAATCTTCTTTTGTATATTTGCACCCCTGTTAAAGGTATTTAGTACACCTTAAAATGAATGGCTCTTTTATTGCATTTACAAAATTTCACACTGAAAATGCAGCAAAAATTAAACTGCATGTTTCAAATTCAACTTTTAATATTTTGTGCAACCCCCTTTTGCCAGTAGGACATAGCTTATTCTTTTCCTGTAGTCTTTGACAATGTTGGAATATACAGAGGAAGGGATATTGGACTAGTAGCCAACTCATTGTTGTATCAAACTCACATCTACTACATTACCACTGAAATACTCTTTATGCTATCCAACCTTAATCATTTTTAATTCTGCATTAAACACAATCTGTTTACATTTGCTTTCATACCCTTGCAATGTTGCCATTTTTCAGAAAATATAATTAGTGTTTGAATAAAGTCTTTTTGAGCCAACAATTGTTTCTTTTGTCATACCAAATATGACAAGAGAAACTATCCAAAAACCCAGGTTAAAAGTTTATAGAACCCAATTTTTCATATCATGTATTGCTCCATAAAAGTGCATTTTTTAGTGATAAAACAATAATGTTCTCAGATGGTAAAGCATTCCTTTCTTCTTGCCAAAAAGCTTCCTGTTCCTGTAAATTCTTGTACTGTTTTTCATTAACTGTATATTTAAGATTTCCTTAAAGTGGCTCAAGAATATTAAGGTCAGGATGCTTTGATGGCAATTCCCGATTTAGGGTTAACCAACAACCCGTCAGATTGACCTCTTTTCCTCTTTTCTGGGTTACTGTCACAGCGGAATATTTAAGAAAATCACACTCCTGCCTTTTGCAATGATAATAAATCTTTAACGGAGCAGTATCATGTGTTTTCCAGGAAAGTGATAGGACAATCAAGTTACTATGTTCCCTTCAGTTGCTATAGAAATTGGTTATATATCAAACATGACTTAAAGGAAATGTAAGTCCAGTCTGTCAGGAGAATGGAAACTCTTTTTCCTTTTTAGCCAAATCAGTATCCTCCTAAGAGACCAAACTTTAGTTTTCTCACAAAAGTCGCCACATTTGCCTTTCAAATGAGAAATTTGGTGACTTATTATAGTTAATGTTTCATGCCTTCTAGCAATAGTTCATGGACTTTTGGAAGAGAAATTGTCCCACAGCATCAGAAATCTTTCACTGTGCGCAGCAATTGAAAAGGGGGATTTTTTTTGACTTCCTGATTGAATTGCTCAGAAATATGATACAAAAACACAGAAGCTTTGCTTTGGAACAAAAAAATCCAGTAAATGTGACCACATAGATACTGCACACTATGAAGTGCAATCTGCTCAGGTCTGTTCAGGTTTGTTCAAATTTGGTCTGTCAGGATCAGTGCTGGTTGTTCAGGCTAACAGCTGCAAGAAGAACAACCTAGCATCTGTGTACTTTCAGGATGCGTTTTTTAATTTTTTTTACTAAAAGAGGCTTTCCAATGCCATCATGATCCCATGTGTGGGTTGGCAAACATTGACCAGGAGTGATATTTTTGTAATTCTGTCTCACACCACTTGCAGTGGGTTAGGAGGTCATCCCGGGACGGAAGGGTCTTCCTGAACAGCTTACCCGTCATTTCCTCTCAATTCTTGCTAAGATGCTCTGGCAAACCACAGCACAGAACAGTGTTCCCAACCCTGGTCCGTCAAGGCACACTGCCCTGCATGTTTTAGGCGTTTCCTTGCAGGTGATTTCAATTGACAGGTATTTATTGAACTGCACTCAGCTGAAGTAAAGCGTAGTAAAGCAGGGAAACGGAAAAAAAGGAAAGAAAACTAATCTAATGTTGTTCTAAAGTATGTAAACTAAGTGCTCCTGTTCAGGGTTGCTAAGTATCTAATACCATTTCTAAATAGTGAGTACTCTACAGTTTCTGATAAAATAAGGTAAAGAGCGACTGATCTTATTCCTTTTCTGGGTTAAAGTGAGTACTCCACAATTCTAAGTTTGTTCTAAATCCTTTTCTGGGTTAAAAGTAATATAAACTAAGCAGTGACTGTTCCTGTTAAGTATTTCTGGATTCCAAGTTCGTGGTTATTCTAATTCTAATTCTGATTCCACTTCTGGGCTGTATAATATTGATCTAAATAGTGCGTACTCCACAATTTCTGATATTACTAATAAACTAGAATAATCCTTTTCTGGGTTAAATAGCGTTTCTCAAACAAAAAAGAGGAATGGACACAGTAGGGCAGGTGGCAACATTCAGACAAAACAAAGGGGCAAAACAAAGACATGAGTGAAGGCGATGAAGGGCTATGAAGCCACGTTACTGAGCGTCCTGGCAGAGTCCGATAAAGGTGTTGTTTATCTAGGAATGTCCTTAGGAGTGTTCAGCTTCACAACTCCATGGGTACAGCAGGGGGTGAGGAGGGAAGAGCGTTGTGTTTACATTTCTTTGAAGAGATTAGAGATATGCAGCCCTTCCAAGGCCACAAGGGGAAAGCCAATTCATAAACAGAATGTCTTAGGTCAGGAAGATTATAAATTTCAATCTTCCCTAAAGTCTCTCCGATACATCTCAGTTCCTCATCATCCAAATTAGTTTGGCCATTCCACTGACCAAACCATGTTTGTTTTATGGCTTGGATGCAACTTTTAAGCAACTTTCTCCCTTCATTTTAATAGCGTTTAGGTTAGATCTTTGGAAAAACCATTCCAGAAGCTCAATTCTTTACATTTGAAAACCAATTGTAAATGTCCTTGTAAACATCATTAGTCTTCATTACTGATCATGTTTTTACCACTATTGTTAGATTTTGAAGCTTGTGCAAATTTTAGTGGATTTTTAGTGAATTATAAATAAAACTGAGTTGAGCAAGAGAGGCCACAATGTTATCATTCTGTTTTGCTCAAATTAAATTAGGACAATCTTAAAAGTTATTTATATCTGTTTTCCAGGACGTGAAGCTCAGCTGGTTTTCAGCTCTTCAAAAGGAATCCAAGTGAAAAACCTGATTAACAAGGAGTATTCGATATTTGTTCCACATTCACCGGGACATGGTCCAATAGCAGTCCTGGCTTCCACCCATAATGTGTACTGGGCGGAACGGGGACGCGGCTCCATATACAGGTAACAACTGGAGCTGCTTGGCGCCTTTGACTTCTTCCTGAATTTTTTTCAGGTCAGACTGACATAACTTCTCTATTTTGTATTTGGTCAGAACTGTTCAACTGGGTTAATAATAAATTTATGGTTGATGGTGTTGAGCTACTTGGAAATATTTGTCTTCGTGTTCATACAAATAAGTTAAAACGGCACCACCATGAGGAAATTTCTTTTTTCACTCCCAGTAGCATTTCAGAATTCTTAAAATGAACTTTTTTCTGTGTACAGTGAGGGAACATTCTTTCGTTTTGCTTATCATGCAATATGTGCGTGCCATCAAACCAGTCCTTCACTTGCAATCATCAAAGTCGATGCAAACTGACACCCGGTCCGTGACTATAAATGAGCCTATGCGTGCAGGACGACGCACTGTAAAGTGGTTGGAAAAAAAGAGGTTTTCCTGTGTGTGTTTCCTTTCAGGGTGTGAAATATGTGCGTCAGCACATTTCGATGGCGGATAGCCTCCACACATGTTGCCCCTCTCTCTTGTTTCAGTCAGTAGTTCCACAGCGTTTATTTGTTTTTGCTTTCTATTTTGTCAAACTGCTGCAAAAAAGAAAAAATCTGTGAAAATTACATTCTTGGTTGTAGCTTGCATGCTTTTTGATTCTTTCTGACAAAGTTCAACCCTGACACCTAATTTAAGTAATCATGTTTAGCTTTGTATGACTGGGATAAGTACAAGCAAACCTTTCATTGTAGTTTTTGTGTGTTTGCGTGTGTGTTTGTTAGGGGAGACGGAAGGAATGTATGAAAAACTGGCTAACAGAAAACCAGCTTTGAAGTCGAAACGGTTTCATATAATCAGCATCTCACATCACTTCCTGTTTCCTGACTTTCTCTCTCTCTTTTTAAATTAACCTGAATAAGAGGAGTAAGTGTCCTTCATTTATTCTTTCAGTGTTGAAATCTGATCTTTAAAACTTCAGATATTTTCTCTTTAAGTTGAGGATAAAATCAGTGTCTTGAGAAAAAATATAAACTGACATAATATGTAATCACACAGCCTGATGGACAAGATAAAAAAATATGCACTATGACATGAACAAATGCTTTGCAATCTCCAAAAAGAGAGTCTAGAGAAGAAAAATGTTCCATTCAAAGTAAATATTTCAAAATTTCTGTTTTTTTTTTTTTATTATTATTATTAAAGAGGACAAGCAAAATAAAACAAGGAATACCTCACCTTGAGTTTTTGTTCTGATTTACACATTTTTAGAAAAATTACATCTTATATTTGTGTTTTGGAAAAATTTTAACTTTGTGGATAAAATAATAGATTCTGGAAGGAAAATATAAATGATCTCAGCTAACAATTAATTCAGTAAAACATGCAAAAGAAAACAAAAGCATTGAAAAGAGTAACTATCCTTAGGTTTTATTATAGTGGTGGAAAGTTATGAAAGCCATGGGGAAATTGCAAAAGACCAGCATTTTAATCTTAAAATCAAACAGGCAGAAAGAATTCAAATTCCCTGGAAAATAGAGATAACAAAATAAGCAAATGTGTTTTATCAGGCACTACTTCCTGGTTTTGTGTCTATTGTTTAAAGAAGGAACTTTCCCTTCCTCTGATAAAAATATATCGGACTGAAGGGAGTCAGCAAACAAAAACGGTGACACCCTACTGCAAAAGACAAGAAATTGAAAGAAGTGTTGGCGATATTAAGTTTTCCATCCAAGCATGCTCTTCAGTGGAGCTCTACTAAGTACAAGTTCAAACAAACGCTTCATTTACTTATGATTCGATTTCTTGGGAAGCTGGGAATTGCATCACAGTGAACTCAGTTGTTGTTCATTTGTATGTGAGAAAGTAAGTTTGATTTGCTAAGTTTTAGTGAGCTGGCTAATGACACAGAACAATCCAGCCATGTACTTTTCTGCATTTGATTACATTAAACACCAAAGCAACATGCAAAAAATACCAGTTGTGCATTCGTCTCTGACTTAATGAAGACATTTCCCTATTTCACAGGTCATTACATTTGAAGTTATTAAGGAACCTGCAGTTTACCTGTTGACCCCTTGGAGCAGGAAAAATATGACTTTAAAGTAAAAAGAGATTACACCATAATATGCTGGATGTGCTAGGAAAGCAGGATAAAGTTTACAAAATAGGAACACCTCTTATTCACCAACAATGACTAATTCAGTTCGAATGACTGTGTGAAGGTTATTCCCTTTGCTGAGGCCCAAATGATCGCCCACAGATGTGTTGGAGTTCATTCATTTTTGTCTCTGTGCACCACCCAGGTTCGCTAACCGGTTTCAGGACCCGACCAGAACCCCTCAGTGCAAATTACCTTGAGAAATAATGAGATTTGGTTATATATATATACATATAAAAAATGATCAAATGTTGCAAGCCATACACGTCATACAAATGGAACAGATACAGAGGTGCATTCACCGTCCAGCGCTGGGGCCACACTTAGCTCACCATATGGCAAGGATGTAACGTGAGTTTAGCTTTTAATTCTTTTCTGCGATCTGTACCCTCCCTTAAAGAGTAGTCTAATCAATTTCAGACTGTTAATGTGTGCCTGCCGGCAGTCGCACATTAACATGGTTATGTAAGCAGATAAAAGAGGCTAAAAGAGATGAAACAACCTGGTTCAGACAGGTTGTTTTTACTAAATTCCATCTACTTTAATCTAGGTCCGAGTTCTGATTGCTCCTTTTCCGTTGTATTTACATTAAAGTAATATAGCAAAACTATTTGGACCTTGGTAGAACGTTTCAAACTTTGTTTGATTCATAAGTTGTCTTTTTAAAAACAGGACTATGTATGTTTTGTGATGAGTCTAGAGAATTTAACTCAATCTGATGCTGTTTCATGATTTCTGGTTTAGATCACGTAGTCAGTCTTGTTTATTATACCTGTTCTTTTCTTTTAGACAACTTAAGGTTATTGAGTTTAATGGAAAAGCGATTCTGTTTTCATGCCTGAGTGAAAGAAGAGAGAAATAGCCAGTGACGAGAGGTTTGTTCTTCCAAAGACTAAAATGTGGTTTTTTCTCTACTGTAAATTCCTTTCTTGATTTATAGAAGTATTTTAATCAATCAATCAACTTTTATTTGTATAGCACATTTCAGCAGCAAGGCATTTCAAAGTGCTTTACATAATTAAAATAAAAACAGCATGCGACATTGAATAAACAGTGAGAAAGAGAAAGAGATTTTGAAAAAGATTAAAAAAGATTTAAAAAAAACATTAAAACCCGCACCCCTTTTAGGACTTCAGTTAAACGTCGTTTAAATACTAATGTTCAAGATTGATTATCACCTAAAACCACAGAGAAGTTAGAAACGGATCGAAAAATTATAACCCATTTTTGCTCTGTGTTTATTTGCAGGGTTTCCTGTCTGTTGATGCTGCATGTCTCCTCTGTAAGATAAATGAATAGATATAATGGAGTGAGTTGATTTTCTATCTGCGTCCTTCTTTTCCTGTCAGGTCGGCATTAATGTGAAACGTTGTGACCGGTCACGAACACTAACTTTTGTCAACATAAGATTGTGTGGCGGCTGAAAGGTTTTAACGTCATGGTAGAAAATGTTTGAGTTGTCACAAATGAAAGAGTAACGTTTGATTCTAAATTTAAGGCTCCTCTCTGTCTTGAAATGGGGTTTTGTGATGAGGATAGATGGCGGTGAGATCCAGGGTGGAGAAAATGTGTTTTAATGGTTTCCAAAGTTCACACAATGCCAAGAACCACAGGTGAGAACAAACATGGACACAGACTCAGTCATTCATCTCCATACAAAAATGCATTTTCTGTGTGGGGCACATTCTCCTGTAAGGAGAAAATTTGTTATTCTCCATCGTTTGGTGACCTGTTGGAGAAAATCTTGTTTCACAGATTCAGTCCAGCCTTAGTTATAATTATGAGTTGTGGACAGACAGGCCTTTTCTTTGTTTTCTCATGTGGACTGACATTCAATGTTGCATTTAGAAAGAATTTCAGATTAAATAAAGGTAGTTAGATATTTAATTCAGGTTGATTTTTGTCTGCAGATTTTAGCCAATCAATTATTTCTTTTGCTTTCATGGAGTTGTGAGGACTGGAAGGTTTTCCAATCCTGTTTGATTGATATCCTTTGGATTGAACTGATTGCTGGTGTCACATGATTGTACAAAATAGATATTGATATCCTTCAATTGATCAAGTCACTTAGTCAACACGATGACCTCTACTGTTTTTCCTATCTGGTCGCTGGCAGAGTAATGTCTATCGCATTCATTCATGCTCACACCTGGTTTCACAAGGCTAGCCTTCTGAGTTCCTTCTCATTTTCACAACACACCGTTCTGGCCGGCCCGGACGTATGACCCGCTATGTTCCACCAGAGAAGTGATTTGGCACACGCTCTGTAAAGATGCTAGCCAAGAAAGACTGAAGTGAAAATGTTCAACTGCCCAGATGAAAAAATCTAAATGCCTTCGGAAGAAATGTTTTATGGTCAGACAAGACAAAGACTGAGGTATACACGTCCTGCATGGTGGTGGTAATGTTATGCTCTGGGCTGTTTTGCAGCCATTTTTACAGATGGATTGCACAAAGTGGATAAAGAAAGAACAGCAAAAAAAAAAATCCAAATTTCTACATTAAAATTTAAGTTTTATTTTGAATATAACTCTTAATCGGCCTTATGTAGGTGTTTGATATGACATTCATTCCTAAGATGAGTGTCCACAGATTTTTGATATAAGCTGTATATTTTCACGTTTTATCTTTCAGGATGTCAGTAGCTGAAAATGCAAAGGAAGCCGTGCTGATGTTGAAAGTTCAAAGTTCAGTGTCTGGGCTTGCTGTGGATTGGATTCACCAACTTCTCTACTGGACCAACGTTGAGGCAGGCTCACTTAACGTGGCGCCGCTGGATGGTTCGTTTCAACGTCAACTGATCACCGGGCTCAACAAGCCCTCTGCGGTCGCTGTGGATCCTCTCCAAGGGTAGGGTGGAGTCTGTTGTAGCTTGATAAAATGTTAAAGAGGCATCGTAAGGGAATATGTTTCACTTGAAGTACTGGTTATCAGGGTCTTTACAAAAGCAATCTGAGTTTGTGGTTAATTACATAAAGTTTGCTACATAAAAATACTAAATGAACCAATCACCCACTCCATCCATCTTGTCATGAACCGCTCCAGCTTCACAACTTCCTCCCTCTGTGGTCCACGGTCTTCATGAGGCTTTCACAGAATAACGTTATTTATACAAAGATTAAGTTACACACAGGTTCAGTTAATTTACCAGTTACACAATTTATGAAGCACATTGTTTGGCCATTGGATTGGGATTGAAAAAAAAAAAAACAACCAAATCTCTGAATATTTTTATTTTCCCAGCTTCCTCTTCTTGGCTCAGTGTGGCAGCGCTCCAGTGATTGAGAGGGTCACTCAAGATGGACGGACAAAACTTCCTCTGGTCACTTCTTTAATCCGCCAGCCTGTTGCCCTTTCTCTTGGTATGTTGAGAATTTTTGCATAGATCATTGTCCTGTCTAGAAATACAGATGAGCGTGCGGAATGTTTTAGGCTTCCTCGTTTTAATTTTATATATCATTTGCTTGCACTTTTTTGTAGAAAGTTTGAAAAACAGGAAAGCTTGTTCCTCTTTTCAACAGGAGCAACTGCAGCGTGAATTTGAACTTTATCATCAGAGGTCCAGTAGTCTGGAGACCTGTGAAGTCATTGAATCCTCATCAATGCTGTTTTACCATTTAAAGTTGTTTTTGTGCTTTAATGTTTTATGGATTCCATATTTTAAGATGTAACCACCTTTCTTTCAGGAAAAAAATATTGGAAAAAAAAATCTGTGGGGAAAAAAAGACATTGATTTTCTAGAACACTGATGACTTTGTTGTACTGTTTAGATTTCAGTACCAAATCAGGAGATCTCTGGCCTCCTTGATTTAAATCAGGGGTCCCCAAACTTTTTCCTGCGAGGGCCACATAGCTGTTCCTTTCTCTGGTCGGGGGCCGGTCTTAGTTTTTGGAGAAAGAAACCTTAGAAAATTCTTGTTGACGGGGAAGGGGGGGGAGGGGGGGCGACGACACATTCGCGCCTTTAGATAGATTTTTACCCAGAATGCAAATGGAAAAAACCGTGAGTGAAACGGTGACTGGGACTGACTAGTATATCTTTCATTGAGGGAAAGTTAGTTTCACATCTGCTCAAGAGCCCCCCTGGTGTTTGAAGAAAAATCCACATATAAACCAGAAAATACAATATATGAAAAAAAAACACTGAATGCTCTCTGGTATGAGCAGGCGGGCCGGATCCGGCATTGTTCAGGGGGCCGGACCAAATGACGTGGCGGGCCGGATCCGGCCCGCAGGCCGTAGTTTGGGGACCCCTGATTTAAATCAACACTTCTGAATAAATGTGTGTCACTCTGTACCCCTGCTAATAGTGGTGAATAAATACATGCCATGGATTTGTTTCCCCCTTAGACTTGCCTCGACGGTTGCTCTACTGGTTTGACCAGGGAATGAGGAGCATCTCCAGGATAGATCTCGAAGGCCGCCACCGTAAAACTGTGGTAGAATCCAACGGCTACCTGGACCGGTTGTTTGGACTCGCAGTATTTGAGGTACAAAGGTCAAAATTAGGTTATGCTCACATTTCCATTTCAAGGCCACAGCTTTAAAAGTTGCGGTATTAAACCACAAAAAAATATCAGTCGTTCTCTTGTCCTTATTAAACCCATTTAATGAGTTTGGAAATTTCTCCAGTCATATGGAGTATAATAGCAAACTCCCCCTACCTACTTGTTATGTGTCAAGGCGTCAGTCAGGTGTCCAAATTGACTGAACAAGGGGAACTCCTGTTGTTCGTTGCCAAGTTATGATGGTTTGAAATAAACATTTTAATCAAAATGCAACGGTTATTGTGAGTATAGAACCACATTAATGCCTTACAACAAAGCACAGAATGATTACAAAATAAGAAAAAAACACATTTCCAATTCAGTTTCTTCCAATATAAGGCTTATGAAAGTAACACTTACAATGGGTAATGTATTTATATGTTGGAACAGGATAAAATATTTCCAATGTCAAAATATATCTGTATCTTTTTGATCTCCAAATGGTACAAAGGGCTCAGTAGACAGAAAATAACATTAACAACGGCTTGAGCTTGTGTACAAACAAGAGGTTTCACTTTGACATAAACTGAAAGTTTCTGTTTGGGTGAGGTGGATTTTTGACTGAAACAAGCTTGTGTTCATTCAGGGAAGTTACTGAAGTGAGAGTAGTGATACTTCATAAAGTATAAAGTATGGTGTAGTGAAACTGTTCAAAAAAGTATTTTATTTTTTATTTTTTCAAAAACGTTACTCAAGTAAATGTAACTGAGTAAATGTAAGCAATGTGGTTCACAGCTAATAAAAAGCCAAAAACTCAGTTTCTCCTCAGAGAGGTCAGATGAGTTTACTGCTCGAGCACAGCCAGGGTCTATAAAGCAGAAATTGGTGGTTTTGGCCGTGTGTCCAGATACATAGTCGTGTGGGAAAATAAAATTGGAATCAAAATAAAGTTTCTCAGCAGCATGAAGCATGAAGTGCTCTAAATCTTTCAGCTAGGAGGTGGCTACTAAAGGTGAAGAGGGATTAATCATTGTTTGCTAGACAACTGGTCTTTGTGGTAAGATTTATTTAATATTCAAATGTTATCTAAACTTTTTTTTTTCAGTTGTGAGACATATTAATCAACATTTACACAAACATTTTTGAGATACATCACACTATTATCTACACATGCAATATATCATCTTTTTGAGATGCACCTACAAATGACTCGCACAAACTAATAAGCTTAAGAAACAGGATCGAACTTTGAGTGCCATTAAAAAAACAAAAAAAAACATTTCTGACATCCCAGTTGACATCCATGTCTGCTCATTCTTCGTCAGGGATCTTTATATTGGGGTGATGAAGCTACACACTCCATATGTCGTGCCAACAAACACAATGGCAAAAATCTCCAGGTGATGATGTCAAACATCACCGTATCTGGCGGCTTGGTCATCGCTCATGATGCTCAAAATGCTGTAGAGCATTTTGAGGTCTGTCTAAAACTAAAAAGCCAACGATCAAAACTGATCAAAAAATTTGATAAAAATCTGCTAAGGCTAAGAAGCAAGGCTGGGAAAAAAAAGCACAATTATCCTTTTTCAAACAAATAAAAACACAGGGTTTCCTTTTCACGTAAAGCCTGCGTGTCCAGCCCCAGTCTTCAAGCGTTGGGATCCTGCCAGTTCCAGGTACCGTGTCTCTGCCCCGACAGCCGACTCAAACTGTCCAACACAATCGCAGACATTATGACATCTCCTCAGCATCTCATGAAGTTCAGCAGACGTCATTAGATTCAGGTGTGTTGAACCAGGGAACAAACTAAAGGTGCATTCACACCTTCCCTGTTTAGTCCACTTTAGTCAAATTCTGGTTCATGTGCCTGTATGGTCCAGCTCATTTGGGGAGGTTTGAATGAGTAATCGAGCTCAGCGTGAACTCTGGTCTGCCTAAACACCTACGTCTCGGTGTGGTTGAAGTGAACTCTGGCGCAGTCCAATTCATACGAGTACCAAGCGATCTGGAGAACACACTAAAAGCAGGAAGTGGACTGTTGCTGGCTAGCAAAAAAATAAATAAATAAATCTTAGAATGTTTTTCGTTACATTAGAAAGTTCACACGTCAATGAACTTGTCTTGGATGGACATAATGAGTCACTGTTGAGAAACTGTGTTTGAGAAACTTTATATGCTTCAGCTCTGCTGAGTAATGTTTGTGCACTCAGAGGAGGTGGATGACATCATGCAGAAACTTTACATCAGCGTCTCAAAGAGTGCTCTGCCAGGTTGGCAGGTCCTGCAGTGACGCTTGTCTCCTGTGTGTCTCCCAGTGCTCCTCAGTATGCTGCTGGTGGGGATGGCTTGGTGGTGTTGGAGGGAAGAGTTTCGTCCCTCCAGGTCTTCCACATTGCAGAACGTTTCTCTGAAAGAATCCCAGAACCCACTCATCGATCAGGGGCCTCCCGTGGGCCCTAACACGACTTTAGTCAAGGTAAGTTCAGGTGAAACACATGGTAATACACAGCTGGAAAGATGCAATTTGCCCCTTACAGATTTATTCTGTTTTTACTCAAGTATTTCAGATCTCCCTCCCCCCACCAAAAAAAAAACTAATCGTAATAACAAACATCATTAATCTGAGGTAATGCAAAACAGAGTTGTAAAACTATGATTCATTTATTAAGGAGGCTAAAAGTTGTCCAAACTAATCTAACCCTGTGTGAAACATTAAGTCCCTCTCTAATCCAAACATCTGGTTGTGCTGACGTCAATAATTGGCACTGAAACTTTTACATCACTGGGCAAAAAAAAATTGGCTTACTATTCTATATGGAAAATTAATTCTTCCACACTGAAGAGGTTTTGAGGATTAGCGGCCTCTTTAAAGCATGCCACTGTACCTCAACCAGACTAAAAGCCAGACTTTAAAATGGTTTGGACACACATCTTCCAAAATGTTCTTCTTTAGCCTTACAAGTTGGAGTGATTTTGATCCTGATGTCCTTTAGACCGGCGCTTGAGTTGGTGTTGCTTATTCAATCTTTTTAGCCTACTTCATGTTGTCAGACCGGTTCACAGATGACGACTGCAGAGCCAAATAAATGTGGTTTATTACGGATAATTCATAATTTTATAGGAGAGGTTTTTTGGGATAGCATTTTCACTTAAAAACTGTTTTTTGATTTAGATTATCTGTGATGCTAAAATTAGTTTGATCAGAAACAATCAAGTGTGAATGCAAACAAAAACGAAGTAATATTTGTGGTATTCTTCTTTCCAGCAGTAATTCGATTTGAATGGGTGTGTTTACAAATACAAACAACGCTTTAGCCTTGAAAACTTGTAGGAAACCTTTTATTCTCTTTTCAACTTAAAAAAAAAATATCCTGCAACATTTATACAGGTTTGTCAAAGTCCATAAAGCTTTTTTATATGGTGACTTAATATATATCAATGGCTTGCCATGAAAAATACAGAAAAACAAGCCTTTAAATGGATAATGAAAAGCAAATGTTTCGTAATTCTCACTCAGGCTTTTGTTGTTTTATTAAATGTTATTGTCACCATTTGTCTGTTCCTCTTCAACGAGTAAATGCTTTTTCTGTAACCACATGATAACCAGGCGTTTCCTCTTCAAGAATCCAAAAACGCAAGCGCGTGCAACACCACCAGTTGTCAGTATAATCTGTTGTGCAGAGTATGAAAATGCTTTGTCCTTTTGCCTCTTATGTTTCTGCTTTTCTCCTCCTTTGTGCAGTTCCTGTAATTTATTCACATGATAAAAGCATAAGCTCAAACAACAATTAATTACATAACTTTGAATTGTAACTAAAGCTAAACTTTGTAGTCTAAGTACAAAAGCGTCTGAATGTTTTAGCCTTTTGATTATTCCATCTGTTATAACTCATGAATTAAGCTCTTGTGGTTGCGTCACGCTTGCAAGAGCGTCTCGGACTCATTTTGTGATTTCCAGCGCGAGTTCAGTTAATAAGGTGGCTCCCATTCCGACAGGAAACCCTTCTCAGACTGGATTTGGACTCTGTGAAGCTGCAGCGCCAGAAGACAGCTGGCTGTGCCGCTCCTGCTGATGTTTCATCATGGCAGTAAACAGACACTCCCAGACGTTCATGCTGTCACTTCCCAGCATCATTCGGGTGTCAACATCGTTGAAGTAATGACATGAAATTCAGAGGTCTGGGAGTTGTGGTGACCCGCCATCATTGCTTGGTTCCCTCAGTTTGAAGGGTAATAACTTTAAATTAAATCCTTTTGGGTTTCTGCTGTTGATGTTTGTGATTCGCTCCCAGAGCCTTTGTGCACAAATGCTCAAGAGAATATCAAATTATTAGCTAGGCGACATATTTATTAGGTTAAGAGTTGCGACCTGAGACTCTTTGACATGTAGTACAAATAGGAACTGTTCAAACTCATAATTAAAGTAACTGGGTACCTGAATGTTAGAATGGACCACAGTTTTCTCGGATCAGATTTTCTATTATATTGTCTGAAGATGTTGAATTGCTGAGGTGTTGAATTGCTTGAGTGGGTTTGGTCGAGTTGTTTTTGTTTTTCAGAGAGTTAAAGAACAGTACATGCAATATATTTAAGTGCACTTTGTTCCTGGGTATTTAATAGGATTATAAGTACTAAAGAGTACATTGGGAGGTAACTTAATAGTATTCTTGAATAAAACAACTGTTCTTCTGGTTTGCTCTTATTACCATCAGCTCTGTGGATGTACTGTGATCTGACCTACCTGCTGCCCAATGAGTACTTGAATCATTTAAAATGTGCATTATTGTTTTATGTTCTGAAGACAAAATGCTTGAATTAAATCTAAACTGTCAAAAGGTAGAAAAAAAAGCCCCTAATTTCATTGAGTCTAATCAAATATTGTCACATTCCTTTTTTTCCCTGTTATTGAGTTGAGATTTTGGTTTTCTGATCACATTAAAACTCTAATGAGCTTAAACTTCAAGTGGCTGTTCTCTCTTCACATAAGATGCCACCAAAATCCAGAATCTGTCTGGATTTATTCTCCCTGAAGGCTGAAAGGAAATATTCCCGCATTACAGTACAGTTTCATGTAAAACGGCAGGATTTAATTTTATCTGCCTGCAGTGCCTTGTGAAAGTGCTTGTATCATTTGATCCCTAAACACACAATGCAAAAAATAAGGAAATAATGGTTTTCTACTTAAAAATCTGAAGTGTATGACATGCTTATATATTCAACCCCTTTAGTCTGGTGCTCTTAAATACAAATTAAATCCACCTGTATGTAAAATACAGCTGTTCTGTTAGACCTGAAGTTGTACCTCAATATCCTTTAGGTATATCTTTACAAGTTTTGCACAGACTCCCAACTGAATTTCGTTCTGGACTTTGATTAGACCATTTTGACACATAAATATGCTTTGATCTCCTCCCAGTCTGCAGTCTTCTGGAATCGCTACAGGTTTTCTTAACCATTTCATCAATACCAGTTACTAATTGTATGATTTATAAAATATGTAGCGGTATCGGAGTACAGGGGATGAATATGAATGCTTAAAAAAAAAAAGCACAGAAAACCGTACATTATGTTCCCTCCTCTTCATGTAAAATCCATGTTTTTGGTTATAATGTTTGTGTTTTTATTGAGATCAAATTTGGAACCCTTTTAAGGGGTTTGATTATTTGTTCAAGCAACTGTAAAAGTATTATTTTCTCCTGATTATTTTTCTAATGCTTTGTTTAATTGTGCCATGAACATTTTACCAACTGTTCTTCGGAACGGGTAAATAATGGCACAGTCACAGTTTTGTTTTGTGTAAATAGCTGGGGTAAAACGATGAGCGTTTCTTTGACTGATAGTTTGCTTTCTCAGCTCTTATCCTGAAATGGGATCACAAGTTTTTTTTTTTGTTTTTTTTTAACATTTCTGTGTTTGAACACCTGACAATTTGCTTAAGTCTTTTACTTTTGTGAAAATCTCATACAGATGTAGACGCCTTCAGGGCAGATGGTTAAGAGGTAACGCTGTAACTGTACTTCTGTGTTCTACGGTTGGTATTTATATTTAAGGAAAGGTTTATTTATTTTGGGTGGAATTTCACATGTTGTAAACGTTTATTTGTACTTGGTACAACACTGTTGATGCTGTAGATGAACCCAATAAATTAATGTTTTGAGTCTAATCAGTTATTTCACATTGATCGTCTCCTTTCTGAGATCTCATTTTTCATGTTTATAAAAACACACTTGTAATTAAATATTTTTTCCTTTTCCATTTCTGTGACATAGCAAAAACAGCTTTGTGAATTTAATATCTTGGAGCCTTTAAGCCTTTTCTATACTGAGATTACCTGAACAAGAACAACATCCACGACTGTTCCAGAGCTTTCAGCTCCCTTAATGCATGTCCAATAATCCCTTTTAACTATGTTCATTCAAACATAGTTAAAATATTTGTTGATTGTTAAATGAACATGTTCAGCAAGCGCTGCATCAACGAATCCCATTGTTTAATTACCTGTAATGCTCCAAAATAAAAACTGCTTGCGGACTAAAATTATCTCTTTCTTCTTATATCATCTGATTTTAAACTGATTTTCCATTTACCGTATGTTATTGACATGTTAAGATTATTTTCTGGTTCACTGTAATTTTCCAAGAAATTTTATGATTTGTTGAATTATTTGGTTTTGTAAGGAAAAAGACAAAATCATTGTGCGTTACAGATTCCCTGAACTGTAAAGCTAACTTTGCATTGACACATTGTGAGTAGAGATGTGCCGATCAGGTTTTTTCCTGCCGATTCCGATCACCATGAGGGCCGATCACCGATACCGATCACATAATTATTATTTTTTTAATCATAAGCACTACCAGTTACATTATGTGGAAAAAGGAACCATGAATTCACCTTAATTTAGACAAAAACTTGTTTTTAATAACTTTTTCCAAGAAAAAAACTAAACAAAACAGGCATTGTGCAAATTGTACTCCTATTGGTAATATTATCTTTAACAGACTGAAAACATATGAAGGCTCTGAAGAGGCTAAATAATGTAGAGTCAAAATAAACCCTCTCAACATTGCCAAAAAATTAAAGTATAAAACTTTACATTCAAAGGCAAATACAGGTTCCATTATAATAAACAATCCTGAGTTACTGAATGAAAACTTCCTGATAGCATGACGGCTAGCTGATTACTGCTAGTTCTGATTGGCTGTTTCTGACTGAGCGGAGTAATTATGAAACTCCAGCCTCCGAACGCTCGTGTCCTGTAACTTTTCAGTCGTGCTTCTTAAAAACTGATTCTGAGTCCTGCTAATGATGCAGTTATTTGATGCAGGTCTACACAAGATCACCTGAATCCTCAAAAAGCTGAGGATACAATCACAATTTAAAGATCTTTAAGTTTATTTATTCATGGTCTCTGTGCTCTCTTGAAGATGATCACCATTTTCAGTATAAATACTCCCTTTACTTTGTTCACTGTCAGATCTGTTATCTTTATTCTCTGTTTTCAGTTGGTGCAACATATTTAATTTCCTGATGGTATTTTCCATCAGGTTCTCTATTTTCTCAGGCCTTTTTTTACGTTTCAAATTAGCTTTTTTTTTTTACATGGCACCTTCAATATATTTGCATTTCTTGTTCTTTGAAACCCTCTTAGAACATTGATACAAACTGAGAAGATGCCTGCATTCACCCCCTCTGCAATACATAAAATTACGCTCTTATGTTTTCCACTTTGTCACTGGATTTTCTAACTGCATTTTGGGGGGGAAAAAAACTCTACACCTCATCATAAAACATGAGTGTCCAGCTCATGTTTTATGCCAGTTTTAGACGTTTCTGCTCAAACACAGCTGTTTCAAATCATCCAGCTGCCTCATTAGCATGCCATAAAGTCCTGCAGAGGCCTGGTAATGACCCACCATTTGGTTCAGGTGTGTTGAATCACGGAAGGAACTAAAAACGTACAGGAAACCAGTCCTTGAGGACTGTCTTTGGACACCAAGTCAGGGTAATACTCGCTCTCTACTTCTCCCATTCCACCTTCAGTCATCTTTGTCGAGCCTTGTCCTGATTATTTGGAATGTGATTCTTTTATACCTCTTCAAACCAATGTGGTCTGTGTTATTAAAGGTCTTTCAGGAGCTATACCATCTTAACCTCCCACGTCTGCATGAGGCACAACCAGAAAACAGTGCGTTAAAGCAGAAGTTCTCAAGACGCACTTAAGTTTTATGCGTTTCCTTGCTGTTTCCTGTTTCATTGTTCTTTACCATTCAGCATGACAGGTCTTTAAGTAAATATTGAGCAAGGACAAAGAACCAATATTTCCTAGATCAAATTACTTGACGTCTAGTCTGACTGATATTGCATTACTTGCTTTAGGCTTGGGTTTTTGTTTACTGAGCAATGTAACGAGATATTGTCCCCTGAACTTGATGTTTGTATGTTAAACAGTTCCACTAAATAGACATTTCGGGGAAATTACCACTCAGGTGGAGTCCATTAAAAATCCGTATCCGGTTCTCACTTCTCCGGTAGTTAATGACTGAATAAGAGCGAAAACCCTTTGAATAACGATCAAGCACCTTGTACTTGTTCAACAGCCACATCACAATGCCATACACGAAACAAAGATTCAACATAACAAAGCTATGCAGCATTTGTAATTGCATCAGTGTCAAATGGCCTTGTTGGTGCCTTGAATAAATACCTGGTGCTCCTGCTGCGGTTATGGGGTAGATAATATCGACCTGCTATTTACTGTCTTCAGTTAATTCACACAAATTTGCTAAAGGAGGGTCTGAATCCTACTCAAGAATTAAAGTTTCAAAGAACTATTTTGCACTCTGACAGAGCTTCTGTTATCTGATGCTAGTAGAAAGAGCTGGAGATTTTTGGAAAAGTTTACAACAGCATCACTTGAAATCGCCCAGGAAACCAGTATAACTTCACAGTCCTGTTTGTTTTCTGTTTTCACTTTGTTTGTTGTGAAATAAATACATTTTTCTCTGGTAATCTTCTCTTCTGAATCTTGCTTTGTATGGGGACAGCATTGCATCAGCACTCTCACTATAATAGATTTTCTCATATTTGATAAAGACATTAAGTGAATGCTTTATGGCAAATATTTGATTAAAAAAAAAGGCCTTCTGCAAAAGCTCGGACATTATGATCTTTAATTTAGAGAGAGAGAGACCAATACTTTATTTCTGGAACAATACAATGGCCATAAGTTCAGAGACAGTTGAACACAAAAGTGAGAAATTACATGAACTGTGTAAAAGTGCAAAAATTTAGGCAGCATTCTGACCTTTTAGCCTGCAGATAACATCAGCGACAGCATAGATTGCACTTTTATCTGGAGAGGTTAGATTTACTGAAACTTTTACAGGAAACTCTGTGGGGGAATTTAAGCTACTTCTTCCTGGAATGAGACAATTGAATAAAAAACAAACATTTTGATTCTAACATTACCTAATAACGTGACTCATGCGTCTTTTACTTCAAAATTCATAATGAAGAGGCACATCTGAGTAAATCTGGTTTATTGAGAGGTTAATTTACCACTTAGGTATAAAAAGGAAATCATTTAGATTCATTGCAGACAAAATTGTCAGAATGCAGAATAGTTGGCAGAGTCAACAGGAGAGATTTAATTAAGAGATTTCAATAAAATGATACAGGTGGCACAATGTGGTAAAGTCTGGGAACTGCAGCAGGTAAAAGAGAGAACAGGAGAATCCAGTTGTGTGGAGGATAAAGTAGAGAACTTGATTACAGACAAAAGTTCCGTGGTTGATTTGGATCAGGGTTCAGCTGTGACGAGACCAGGCGGGCAGACTGAGAGAAGTTGTTATGAACATGAAGGAAGCTGAGCAGGATTTAAACAACTTAGGTAAACACTTATCTAAAGAAAAGCAAAAATAAAATGAGCATGGCGAAATAAAAAGAAAAAAACAAGCAGAGAAACAACCTGTCAAAAAATTTTTTTTCAGTTATTTTGATGGCAGACAAAATAACTGTCTGCCATCAGTTATTAATGATTAGACCATTAATGACTAATCATTAATGGTCTGAGGAACTGTGGAAATGTCAAACTGAACATCAACCGTCTTGCGGTCTGTGCATCTGCACCATTTCTACAGACTCTGACACCATAATAACCAAATTAGATGAAAAAAACAAAACAAAAAGAAAACATCATCTTTTAATATAATGTTGGACAACTCTTTTGTACATTTTGAATTTAGTCCAGGTCAGGTGTGACCTAAAACATCAACACGATGGTTGTAGCACACGTCCTGGACACATCTGTGTGTGATGGTTTTTGAAGCAGCCACGGTTCACACCTTCTGGAGTATCGCCAAACTCTCTAATAGTCTTTGCTTCACAATTCTGTCAAGGTTGTGATTATCCTTGTTTCATTTGCTCCAAGAGTTTTTCCTTCCACCTAACTTTCTATTAATATGCTTGCA